AACAACTAGTCAAAGATACAAGTGAAGCCGATCCTTTAAGCAAACAGTTATGATATCTCCCCTCCTGCCCTGGCCTATTCACATTTCCTATATCCTCCAATCACGCCCTTACTGTCACAATATTTTACTTGCTTAATTAAATTTGGTCGGTGTGCTCTTTTTTAAGCGGTTTCACGAGAACCCTCCGCACTCCACGCTGGCCTTCTCACCGCCCTTCGTCCTTAAGCTGTGAATGTTAATTGGAGTCTGCCATATTGTTACGCAGTCCTCCATCCTTAGGTCTTACCCCAGTCTCTCTCTTGCCCCGTAAGATCCGAGTGAAATGTGTGAACCAGAGAGGGAAGACGCATCTATATGTATTTCTACATTACTTGAATTAGCCATTATTACCACTGCTCCACCTTTTTCGGAATTCGTTATGATTAGATTATTATTACACAGATATCTCTATATCTTACTAAGATGGCAATCTTTCTTAGGTGGTATTATATGGTCAAAATGAAGGATTACGTCCAGTTCAATAGTATTTCTTACCTCTCCAGCAATCTATCAAACAAGCTAATTGATTCAACGAGTATTTCCAGAGAATGGTTAAAATTACTTGGAAGAGCGAAATTCAATCCTCTTTCTAATAAAAATACTACACTATTCTCCGGAGTTGTACTAGATAAATTAATTAACTTATCCTTCACCACTTTGCTACAACCATGGTTAGTAAGATTTATCTTAGGGCAAAATTTCTCAACCTAATTCTAATTCCTAAATTCCGGAGCTTTTTATCATGTATTCGAGAAGTAGTTCTGCCAATCGCCTCTCCTAAGCCGTCAGCCATGTCCTGTAACTTAATAAAATCCACATCATTTAATAGTTTAGAGATGGATTGTCTAAGCTTAGTTTTGGTTTTAACTAGTTCGTGGAGTACTGCGTCAACATGAATATCGTATAAAAGCCAAACGGCTGCAGTACAACGAGATTCATCCATCCTCATCTAGTGAGATCGACCAACAAATCTCTTCTTCATTCACTTTCATACGATGTGAAAGTCCCCTAACAATATTTTTTTATTGCCTTAGAGTAAATATATACAGTGTTTGTTACGATTTTAAAACGCATTACAAGCTATTTTATCTCATGAATTGATTACCGTTTTTCATTACTTATCCGTTAACACGGAAACATGATTTGATCTAAAGAGCCTAAAGTTTTCGGAAAATAAGAGACTACCTAAACAAGTATTGA